GGTTTGCTCCTCAGCCCTGTTAAAGTTTTAAAACATCAGTTTTTTCAAGTATCTTAATTATAACTGATTTATTTTTATAATTATTATTATTGATATAACTTTTTGTAGTAGGATTGTAAACTCCAGCTTTATCTTAATTTGCCTGTATCATTTTATAGGAGACAAGATAGTACCTTGATGGGATAATGAAATGTGTTGCAACATTGGAAAATATTTCTGGGAGTCTTGGGGTTGTGGCCTGGATATCACTACACTAATTTGTATGCAGAGAGTTATATTTCATAGTTGAAAATAACTCCAGGTATATACTCTTTCTGAATTCAAGGCTTTATGCAAATGTTTGACTTTTGATTGACTTTCCTTTGAGTTCCACCTGATTTACCCATTTCTGAAACTACCATTGCCAGATTGGCTGTTGGATGGTATGTACCAACCTCAACGGGGACCGCCGTCGTCTGCACATGTGTGTACTGTGGCAAATAGGCTCCTTGCATAGCTGACGTTGCAGGCATGTACTGAAAAGAAGAATATGGTCAGGACGAGACATGACAACCCATGCAAAATTCTGAGTACTTGGGCAATTTTTAGACGGGATGACAAGTATTTGGAAGTCTCAAAGAAGAAATTTAAATGGACTACCTCGAAGTTTATGAGTATCCATCAATGTACCCTAAAGAAGGTAAAGTTAATGTTTTCTACTTTTTGAATTTATTAAACTAAAAATCCCACCTTTCTTTGGCTTTCCTAACAAAGAAGCACCTGTGTGAAGATCATTAAGTTTTCTCATCCTTGATAATTCAACATCACTAATGTGCTATTTTAGAAGATCTCTTCTCAAAGGACCTCATTATTTTCCAGCAGCCCCTTGAGCTAAGTATCCAGATTGGTTTCCTAAGCAGAGACCCGAGGGGTAAACGACTTATTAGACCTTTAACAGGTCACTGCAGAATAGGAAACAGACCCGTGCTTTCCTGCCTGATGCTAACAGCCATCCTTTTCCAAAGTGCAGGAGAACTTTCTAGTCGATCTCACTAGATGTGTGTGGTCCTGGTTTAGCCTTCACAAGAAGCTACTGCTGATTTTGAATGTAGGCGGGGAAAACACAGTACCTTTTGTACTTTTAAGCCACCACAGATATGAATTAAAAAGCTTTTGGCCATCTTACCATTTAAACAATGCCATGCCTATCAACCCTGGAAGTTAATCTGGTATCAGTTCAACCTCAATACCAAACTAAGTCCTCTAGACTCTGGGGAAATAAGTCAGTACAAAGATTGTGATTCGATGCCCCCAAATTCCATAAAAGACATAAATGAGGAAAAATCCTCTGCCTTTACCATCATGTACCACCTTCATCTTTTGATTCGTGATACCTGGACTGCCAATGTGAATGAATGACACTGGTTATTAGGTTTGGATGCAGTCATGTATGGGTGCTATATTCTGGTAAAGAAGAGATACCCAGGATCAACTTTTAGTTCATCAATGAATCAAGAACTATCCAAGTATTTACTATGAGGAAGGCAATGTGGGGGTGTAAAGGGGATCAGACACAATTGTTGACATCACCGAGCCTGTGATTGATAGGAAAGGCACAGGCTGCATTAATTTACCCTCCTCCGTTTGCCGAGACAGATGATATTAATTTGCCACCTACTGTTCCGGTGCCGCCTAGTGACAGATGACTCATCTGCTGGGCCAGAGGGCTGATCATAGATGCCGGCTGTAGTGACATGGTGTGCTCCATTGAGGGAGTTAACACGGCACCCTGGGAAGTCAGAGACAAGAGCAAGGTAAGACACAATGAGGGAGGGAGTTAGTTAGGTTTCTGTAATCACCTTTTGCCAATGAAATGCCTTAGTTTGTTGAGGAATGTGAAACAAAAATAACTTCCTCTCAAACTTGCAAGTGGTATAATCAATAATCTCCTAAAAATCTTCTAGAGTACACTTCATGAGACTTTTTAAAGAATATTCACTTCACAGAAATCCCTGTATTAAACATCTCTCTCTTTACCTTCATTTAACTGTAAAGCAAGCTAGTCCAGCAGGAGGAGCTGTAACAGGAAATGCAAACTATTTTTGGCTTGCTAGGGTTACTAAAAGGCTTGGTGATTTTTAAAAATAAACGCTTTATGCAGCCTCGAAATAATATATTGAATATTATAAATACACTGTTTTGTTCGATAATACTCTAGTCACTTGATTCAGCTGTTAGGATCAAGAGCACATTCTTCATTTACTCACTGCATCCTAGCACTTTCAACTACAATTTGGTGCCAGGGGAGGAATGCAGATTCAGATATAATTAATAAACCAATTTCTGATTCTTTGTTTTCATTTGAAAATATTCTGGTCATTAAAAGTGAAATTTAATATAGTTTTTAAAAAAAAAAAAAAAAGAGAGGATGGTGGGGAAAAAAAAATCACCTATCACCTAACCTCTGTCTAACACATCACTGTTAGCACTGTCAGGGTACTGCTGCCCAGACTCTAGCCTTGGCATGTTTTAATAGAGTTGCAACGAGGGTACATAATTTCATATCCTGGGCTTTTGCTTTTAACTTAACGTTCTATTATAAATATTTACCTAACTAACCACATAGCTGTCATTATCATCGTTTTGAATGATTATATAATGATACCCTGACTGTATAAACCAAAATTTAATTCTATGTCTGGATTTTTACATTTTTCCTAATTTATCCTATATTCTCATGGATTATACCATTCCTCCCACATTATCTGAGAATATGATTATCCTAACACACCTTACAAATATCACTGTACTTTGCTTACCCCTTAAACATACTATTATTTATTGACAATTAGATACACAATTGATGGCAGAGACTGATATGCAGGCCCTTTAATTCTGGGTGGGGAAAGGGAATGAATCCTCAGACAGGGCCTACACATACCATACCACTACTGTCTCCTCAAAGATGTTAAACTGAGAAATGTGTATCCTTTGTCTCTAAAATTTGCCACCATCCAAAAAAGATGTGTGTCGGAAATAGTTTGTTAATACATTTCGTAAGAAATTTTTTAAGTGTTTAATGTGCATCATGAAAAAATATGTGGTTAACATGGAAATGACTCAGAAGCCTAGAATATGCTGAAGGGGTTTCCTGCTCCTTTTTCCCATTCACTAGGAACTACTACACTAGGAAGCCCCTAAATGAAAAGTGAGTTCATTTCCAGCATTTCAAAATAGGACAGCATGAAGTTTCAGGGACACAGATTGCTATGAGTGTTTGTATATGTTGTATATGTGTAGGTATAAGTATGCACACATGAGTAGGGATGTGTGAGTTTGTGGATGTATATGTACATATAGAAACACTTATGTGTATGTTTATATAGACACACAACACATGTACATACATTATCGAAGAGCTCATCTCCTATATTATCAACTAGACATGTTTTATCTGCTTCTTTAAAGTCATCTCAACAACTTCCTATTCAGAACTTATCCCTGAACTGCTGTTTCATACCTGTGGTCTTACAATGCATAGTGTCCTCTTTTGGAGGTATCTTAAGAGAAATCCATTCCACCTTAATGCCAAGAAGTGTGCTTTTCCTGAGCAGCTAATCTGTTTTTAGAAATACTGTGAACTGCGTTGCTTATCAGGATTCTCATTTTACATCAGTTACTAGAAAGCTCAGGGCCATGTGTGGCCTCGTGGCAAGCACGCAGGTCACTGTGTTGGGCATTCTTAGCCTTTTATTTTTCAACTTTTTAAACCCATGTTTTAATTCAACAAACTGGATCTTGTGTATCTTTGAAAAACACATTAAATACGCTACCTAATAAGATGAAGTGAAACTCGCTCAATTAAAAAAATATAATGTATACATAAGTACAACGAATGCTCATGTCACTAAAAAAATCGCATTTATTATTTACCAAAGAAGGTGTTACTGCTTTTGTACTTATAGTCTCTATGGAGAGACTAAGTAACACTGATAAAAATCTCTGGCTTGGTTTTCAAAACTGTATTTGCATTAAACAGAATGTAAAAAATAAGAGCTGTTTTATCTCAAGTACTGTTAAAAATTTAGCAATTAAAAAACCTTACAATTAAGAAATTTTTTAAAATAAAAAACTCAATTTAATGATCTCCTATAGAACTGCCCTGTGTCCAATATATTTTAAATTCTTATAGATTGCAAATTAACTTAGTGTCAACTACCAACTTGTTTTAAGACAAAGGTGACTGGAAGTTTTATAATGAGCTTGTACATTCTCATACTCTATGCTTAAAATTTCCCAAATCTTTGGCAAATGGTTTTAACCCAGAGAATGGTTTTAATGTGTACACTGTTAACTTGCAAACCACAAAGCCGTTAAGATGCAAAACTTACCGGGTGCTGTAGGATATATGGTTGAGGTTGCATCCAAGAAGGACTTTGCACCTGGAAAAGGAAGGATTTTGAAAGAAACACTGATTTCCATTGGAATACTACCAATTTCTCTAGAACTCTTTTAATCATGTTAAAATCTATTGAAGAAAAACAAGGAAACAATACTATCAATGATTAAAAAGATTAAAGCAGTTAGAGTTCTTGGCAAACTGGTCACTCTGAATAGGATGAAATGATTATTCAAAACCAAGTTCCATTTGCCCACTCGAGAAGTATTTACTGAGTATCAGGCACCAAAGAGAAAAAGGCGAATTAGACATGGGCCCCACCCTCAAGAAATTTACTAAGGGAGATAACCAAGTAAATGACTCAAATAAATAGTGAAAAGTGTTATCCTCAAAGTATGAACTAGATACTTTAGGGATACAGATGAATGAGAATTAATTCCAGCACATCTTATTGGAAACCCTTCAAGTATGTGCTTATTTAAAAAGAATGACCAAATTTAATCCCTCTTTGATACCCAGGGAATTAGGTTTCAGAAATCTTCTCTGGTGGGTCAGCAATTTCGAGTTAGTGTGGAAAATTAAAATCTAACATTCAGATTTAGCAAATTAAACTTCAGTAACCAGATCTTGACATCTACAGTCAATGGGACATCCACATGGTAGACCCTCTGGACTAAGCAATAAGACGTGAGGGTCAGGTTCTGTGGCAGGAAAGAAAGCATGTGCCGTCTGCCACTCAAGAGAAAAAACTATCAGTCCATTTCTTGATGCCCAGAGCTTTCCTGAGACTATATAATTTTTAAAAATAAGTTTCAGTCTCTAATTCTTAACAACAAAACCCTCCTGCATCTTATCCCCTACTGTTAACTTCAGAGGTTCTACAGAGAGGATATGGGGAAGAGTCATGGGGGAAGAACATATTGTGATTTACCTTGATAGCAGAGCCCCGATACTTGTTTTCTCTGGTTTCCTTTGCCACCTAAGGCAGACCAAAGTTAAGTGCTTCTGCCTTGTTAGCATTTCAGTTATCTGGACTGCAGCCTTTCCCCATTGGGGTATTGGTGGTTTCTTGCAGATGCCAATTTCTCAAATCCAATTGTATAAGCACATGGTGGTTTAGTGGAGAAAGGCCTACTCCAACACGAGTGTAAGGCCCTCACTGAATAAATCACGAGGAGGTGAGCAGCTCCCTATAGACCCCAATTTGGGCCAGATGCTCCCATTTTTTGTAAGCTTCAGTAGTCTTAGTAATCTGATATAGCATTATGGGGTGAGAGAACGATGACATCTAATCCAATTTTCTTTCTTAAGCAGCAAATCAGCTGCTGTCAATTTCTATTCCTCATTTTCCCCTAACTATAAAATGGGAATAATAATCTATGTTCTATAAACTCTTTGCCATTGGTTCTTTACCCTCGTTTGGGTCATGGAGCCCTCTGAAAACCTGATGAAGGAAACAGACATCCCCCTCCCCCAAATTAACTGTATACACACAAGCAACATTTTGCAAACAATTTAAGGGAATCACAGACCACTTAAAGCTCATCTGGACCCTACTGGGTCCTTGAACTTATGGGGTTGAGAATCAGTCTTCGAGGTTATGGCACTGAGTTTCAGGCAAATGAAATGAAATTCTACATATATCTTAAGGAAATACAGAATCCCTAGGAGAAGAAATCAGGCCTTTGAAATGGAATGTTGTTTCTAGTTAGGTATATCAAATCTATTACCAACACTGGTCCCCTAATTTTTTTTCATTCTATGGCCAAAATGTTCACTGTTTTTAAAGAAAAGAGATGGTAGGGAAATGCATTAATAGCTATAATATACGTATAGCAGCACACATTCAAATTAATATGTACAACTTTTCATTTGCCTGAGAATAGCTTACTTGTCCCTATTTTTAGTGATATACATAAATGGCAGAGGGTTCCAAGTTTAGATAGTTAGGAAAAAAAGACTACCTTTCAATATCAGATACAGGAATTGTTAATTAGGGACAATGCACTAGTGTAGATGACACTGCGTTTTATACAGGCAAGGGAAACAGAAATCTTAAGTTCAAAATAGTTAGAGGAATTAAATGAGTCAATACTATGCTCAGCAGATCGAAGCACCAGCATAAGTAACATAACAATCCAGAAAGACAAAAGAAAACAAGACAAGAAATAACTCAGGGAAAGGAGGAGAAAAGGACTTAAAAGCTAATGGAGGCTAAGAAAGCTACTTTAAAACTTCAGTTTTAGCACATTTAATCACTTCTCTTTGTTATTCAAAGCTACTTTTATGTTTTTAAATAGAACCATCTTTAAGATCTTGCTTACATTGACTAATTCGTTATTTTTAAAAAAGTATATACTGTTACCAGCCAGCTAATCCTACATAATAATGATGATGATAATCATATCTAACATTCATTGAGTACTAAAGATATGCTAGGTACTGTGTCTAGGTCTTCACATAGTCTCATTTAGTTCTTATAACAAGCCTATGAGATAGAAATGATTATTATCCCCATTTTAAAGATGAGGAAACTGAGGCTCACAGAAGTATAACAACAGTTAATAGCTACTGCAATCCCCTAACCCCAGAAATCAGGGCTACAACATATAATTTAATTGTTTTAAAAACAAGAATACATAAAAATTTAGTTTAGTCACACAGATCTCAACAGTCAACAAAAGAGAACTATAGTCCTACCTGTCTGTAATCAAACTCCATTACAATGTTCCTGTCTGGGCTAAGGCAGTAACCCTGTTAGAAGCACTCTGGCAGTAACCCTGTTAGAAGCACTCTGGTAAGAAGAAATGCAAGTACGACAATGGGTTCATGAAGAACAGAGATAACCCTTCAATAAAACCAAATCAGTATTATAACAAAGTGCTTAATGAGAGCTTTTTTCTAAGCAGGGAATTTATTTTAAGGTTTATTTAAGTTTCCTCAAAAATAACCTAAACAGGGAGTCATCTCTCTCTCTCTCTTTTTTTTGGCCTCAAATCTCACTGCATTGCTCATTTAATATTACCTAACAGAGACACATCTTTATTTATAGCATGTTTACGTGCTCTTTTATTAGTTCCT